GAAAACCCAACTCAAACTGGCTTATGTCATTCAACAAGAATTCAAGACGTGGGCTTTCAGAATAGAATAATCCATGGCTCCGGCAATGGCATGAGAAACCCAGACTCGTTAGCTCTCTACTCTACTTGCCCTCAGGCTAGCTCCACTCATGGGTACAAGATGGCAGGCAGCAGTTCCCAGCATCACAACCAGGCAATAAAGAAGAAGAGTGGACAACCATCTTTTTTTTTGAGTCGTCTTCTATGACAAAGGGAAACCTTTTCCCAAAGTCTCCAGCAGACTCCCTGTCATGTCTCACTGGCCAGAACTAGGAGATATATCCCCATCCTTAAAACAATTACCAGCCCAGAAAGTGGGTTTACCATAACTGAGTTAGAGTTTAGCAATTCTCAATCCTGACTGTACATCTTTTATACAGTTCTCCCAGTTGATTTTATTGGATAGCTAGGATTGAGAACACTGAGTTAAACGCATCAGAACTACCCCTGACTTGCCTTCCTGAGTCATTTGGAAAAAGGTAAAAACACTTGAACAAAATCTGGATTGTCAGAAATAGACAAAGAATGTTGACTCAATCAATAAAAGCATCTACACAACCATGATATTTGGGTTTCAAAACACTTTCACAGCATTTTATTTAATCCTCCAGGCTTTCTGCATCAGTCTTATTTTACAAAAAAGAAAACTGAGGCTCAAGTTTATAAAGTAGTAAAATTCTTTTAAGTCTTCTAAATCTCAGTACATTTAATGTAACGGCAACTTAAGAAATTTCCCCAAAAGAACATTTTTCTGAAACAGTAAAGACTGCAAAAGGGAACTTTTACATTCTTCTGAGAGAAACAAACCAAAAGTCATTAAAATACCAAGGCCTAAAAGAAATACCAAAACCAAGTCTTGGAAAACCTAAATTCTAGTCCTGGCTCTGCCACTAACAAGATCCCTTATATCCTTTTCCATGCCTGTAATAAGAGCTGCCTCACTTATGAGGGCCCCTCCAGCTTCACTCACCCTCCTCACCGCCCCTGCCACACACACACACAATGCTAGACAATCTAATTTACTAAAAAGCATTTTATATAACTATACAAGTGCTTAATAACTAATGACTATTTGTCTAAAAAAATATTTCCCAGCTGGGTGCAGTGGCTCACACCTGTAATCCCAGCACTTTGAGAAGCCAAAGGAGGAGGATGGCTTGAAGCCAGGAGTCCAAGACCAGCCTAGGCAACATAGCAAGACCCCATCTCTACAAAAAAATTTAAAAATTAACCAAGCATGGTGACACACATCTGTAGTCCCAGCCACTCAGGAAGATTGTTTGCGCCTAGGAGTTTGAGGTTGCAGTGTGCTATGACCGTGTCACTGCATTCTAGCCTTGGTGACAGAGCGGAAAACTTGTCTCTAAAAAAAAAAAATTTCACTATAGAACTGGATATATTTTCTTAATGTAAAATTTATGAGAAAAGCATATGTGGCTTATTGCTGTTTCTGCCAAATATGCTATGTATTTGTATGAATCATAAGCACTGGAAGCTACACGGACACCATATAAAAGGCTTACAAATGTTTAAGTTGCATTGAAAGAGGGCACTAGTTATTCTAGGAAAGGAAAGGAATGAAAAAGGAAAGAATTACAAAAGCCATTTGAACAAAGAACCCATTGAATTGAGTGAATGATCTCCAAATCTACTGCATAGTCAACCACTCTTCTCTCTGAGCTCCTCCCCCCCCATTATCTCCAAGATCACCCTACACAAAAATGTGCAATTCTGTCTCTAAACTATCTCTTTCCCATTATGTCAGGCTTCTGATGAAAACCCTTCAATAATTCTCCTCAGGATAAAGTCCACATTCCTAACCTTCCTTTTATGGCCCTCCATAATCTGAAACTGACCTTTCCATTCATCCCAGTCTACTCCCTGAAAGGAGATCTCCATTCCAGCCAAACTGGTCTCTTCAATCTGGCCCAAACACTGCAGGTGTTCTGGTTTCTTCTCAGCTGTTCCAATCTGACAAGGTTCCATTCCTTACTTAAAACACGGGTGAGTTCCAAAACTTCCAGAAAACCTCCACTCTAATATACAAACTCTCATTTCTGGAAAAGTTAGGATACTTAACTTGTCACTGAATTTATAACCTTTTAACATGTTATGTCTGTCTATCCTTTGTTTCTCCAAGAATTTAGCACAGTGCAGACAGGAGTTCAAAAATGTTCCTCAACTACAGAACAAACTCAAGGGCAAGGGCCTCTACCTTCCTTCTTCTTTGTGTCTTATTCCAATACTTAACAAACTGTATGTGCTAAACATTTGCTGATTGCTATATAATTGAACTCAGCAGTAAGCCTTCAGGTCCTATAGGCCTCCAGCCTTTTTAAATATTTATGGAAGATTTCAAAGCATCAAGATATCAAAATTACATAAGTCCAACAAGTATTTCATGCATGCAGAAGACATCTTACAGGGCAATTAAAAACAGAAATTACCTAAACACATAATTCTGAAAATGCACAGAAGGCCATTTAGGCAAAACAAAGTGTAAAACATCTGGAAATATAAACAATCTGACCTAGTTGACTTTCTTTCTGTAGATCCTCCACCTAATGTCCTTCCTTAACTCTTTTGACTCCCACGTTATACAAAGGCTCAACTGGTTAGGTGAACGATTGACCTAGACTACAGTTTCAAATGACTTCATCAAGCCATTTTCCAACACTGCATTTTCCAACCTTACTAATTCCTTTAAGAAGTAGGGCATAGGAAACTGAACACAAAAGAATTACAAGACCTGTTCGATCGTCATATAGCCAGGCCACAACAGTGAAGACAATTTAAATTCAGGTCCCCTTACTGAAGTCCAGGGCTCTTTGATAGGAACTAGAAGTAAACTTTATGGAGCAAGTGGAAAGAAACTAGAGTCTTCCTAATTGGCCAAAAGCATATGAGCTAAAGGTGTATTTCTGTTATCTTCTGGGAAAGAATTTAAATTAGAAGACATAAGGAGGAAAAAAAATACTTTCCGGTTGCTCTCTTAAGCATGATTACAAATCATGTTTCTTATGCAGAAGGACAAGAGTCAAAAGGAGTAAAACTCCAGTTCACAAATTCAAAAAATCTACAGTCTGGGGAGGAAGGCTGGCAGCTGGCCCCCAGATGCACTAGCTGCTGCTGGAATATGAGGCATGCGTCCGGCTGGCAGGAAAGCTAATATGCTGTCACAGAAATAGCTTTCTACCAGTGGCCAAGCTAGCTTTGCCCTCTGCCTCTCTCCTATCTCCCTAACTCCAGAGGGAGCTGCTACTAGAGCCAGTGAGAGAGAAGGTACACTCTCCTAGCCAGTAACTCTGGTTAACAGGGAGCTACAGAAAAGTCCTCACTCTCCTATTTACTCTACACCCCTCACCTCCTTCTATGCTCACCCCCTACATATTTACAGTCCTCCCTACTTCCCACCTAACACATATACCCCATGCCAAGGGACTGGAGAGCCATGAACCAAATAAGCCCACTTATCACATGTCCCAAACAAAGTGAGTCTCGATCTTGATTTTGCAAGACCCAAAGAGGTCACAGAACCAAAAGGAACCTTGGAGATCACCCAGAGAAGTTGACTGACTTGCTTCCAAAATTACAGGGATGGCTCGCTAAATTCTTCCCATTGAAATGTACTTCAACTCATTCATTAAAGGACTATTTACTGTGCCAGACACCACGCAGGGTGCCTGAAACAGTATGTTCAGTATGTTTTAATCTTCCTTAATGCAAAATGGGGGGGAGGAGGGAGGAGATGAGGGATTTGTCCCAGAGGTGGTACGTACAAACAAGTGTACATGCGGTAAATTCCTAACGCCGGGAAATACACGGAATTAAGAAACTAGATACGTTATAAAGGTCCTAACAACACAGACCCACACAGCTGGATACCGCCCACGTCCCTGTGAGCTGTATGGGCGGGTCTTTTTAAGAGGGAAAGAAGGCCCTCGCAGCCATCCTCAGAAGGGGCTATAGGTCCCAGGGGTGGTCAGGCTGCCCAACTCCTCACCGGAGCTAACTCCTCCCCATTTCCAGCAGCATCAGTTAACTCAGCGTTTCTGCATGAATTTCAGCCCACTCCCTCCTACAAAGACTCTTCTCAGCCGCACTAAGCACACTTATCTATCTCTCCAGGATCTCCTGTTTTCCTCCAAGTTTTTCAAAAACACAGAGAAGATCAGGGGAGGAAAGGCATCAAGCTTGACCAGGGTGGAACTCCCTCTTCGCAGGCAGTGCCCGCCCGGGCCAGAGGGCAGGCTGTCCGCTCACCCTTTCAAACCCCAATCTTTGAACCCTCCTCAGCACAGGGGCAGGGAAGGAATGTGCAGAAAGCAGCACAAAGCCAGGTGGACTTTCTGGTTTGGCACAGTGAAGGACCTGACGCCGGACAGCCGAAGAAGATAAGAAAATGAGACGGGAAAGGTGCAGCTTAAGGGACTCCTGAAAAATTCAACACCCAGCGGGATTTCAAAGAACCCCCAGGAAAACTCTTCTGAGAGGTCACCAGACAAAACTAGGCAAACTGGGGGGGGGGGGATGGGCATTTATTGAAACCTTAAAATCTGTACCCCCATAATATGCCAAAATAAAAAAAAAAAAAAAAAAACTAGGCAAACTGATTTCTCAGTTCTGAGGAGGCTGTGGGCAGCCGTGGGCAGCACTAAGACCCGAGCCCGGGCGGGGAGAGCCGAGGGGTGGCCCGCGGAGGAGGCAGGCACCGAGGGGAGCCGGCCGGGCCAGGCGGGGCTCCGGGCAGCGCGCTCCCACGCGCGCCTCGCTCGCAGCGCCGCGGAGAGGCTGGGGCAGGAGCGGGGACTCGCCCCCGGCTGCCTGTGGGAGAGGAATGCCCCCGGGGCCTCCCGGCTTCCAAGCGACCCGGGCTGGTCCAGCATGAAGCTCCCGTCCCTCTAGCACGAGACCCCCGGCCTCGCCACGCCGCGGCCCGCCCGCGCCCAGGTCCCCGCTTACTTTTGGTCGCAGCGATGAGGTTCTTCCCGTCCTTGATGAGCTCTTTGATGAACTTGTTGGTCCTCTCGAGTTCCGCTTCGTGGGCGCGGATCCTCTCCCGGAACCAAGGGCTGTCGAGGTAGCAGTCGCTGAACTCCAGCGGCTGCAGCCCCATGACGGCAGCGGTCCCGGCGCGGCGCCCACAGCCGCGCGCCGCCCGAGCGGGGCTCCGAGGCCGCGGCCAGGTGCGGCGCGGGCAGGCAGCCGGGACGAGCTAGCAGTGCGGGGCGCGCGGCGAGCGCGGCGCGGACATGCCCCGTGGAGCCCCCTGGCCGCACCGAGGAGCAGCCGCCCGGGCGAGCGAGAGGCGCGGCGCCAATTCCCGGCAGGCCCGCAGCCGGCCGCCCGGCCCCCGGGGCCCGACCACCCGGCCGGCCCCGCCCGCGCCCCGCCGCCCCCCCCGTCCCGCTCGCCCCCTTCTCTTTCCCCCGCCTTCCTCCTTCCTCCCTTCCCTTCCCAGACGCGTCTTCCTTCTCTTCCACACGCGCAGCGGCGCCTCCCCTTCCTCCCGAGGCTTCCTCGGCGTGGGATTCCGTGCCGCCGCGCTCCCGCGCGCTCCGCCCCGCCTCGCCGTCCCGGGGCGACTCGCTGTCGCTCCCCGGCGCGAGGATCCCCACCCGGACCGGGAGGGAGCGTCGGGGCAGCACTTGTTATTAGTCCCCCAGCCGCGCGGCAATCTCGAGGCGGTCGGCAGTGCTGGAGGAAATGACTGACTCATTGATCTCAGTTTTCCCGGGGACAGTTTTCCCTGTGAACTGACTCGTGCTCCTGGCTCTCTTTTTCCTTATACCTGTTCCCCCATTTAATGAAATTAAGATGCGTGTAAACCTCCACCTGGAATGGAAAGGTCTACTACAATGGCAAGAGCCTTTTCTTGGTGGCCCAGCAGCTCCTGCCTCGCCTGTCTGCATATTCCACACTGAAATGAGTTAGGGGAAGGGAGAGTGTGGTTAAACCGCAGAAAAGTTGTTTCTGTTGTGTTCAGCGGATTAAATTTGCTTGAGTTAGTAGAGGTGATCTTTATTACTTTAAATACAACCACGGAAAACAAAGTACGTGTGGTTTACACAGGGTGGGAGTGAGAGATCAAATGAGGATTTATGTCACTATACCCGAAAAGCTATTCCGTGTGTCATGAAACAACTCAAATGTGTCCCCTAAGAAGTTGACATTTTAAATTATTGAAATGTATACCTAAAAGAAACCACTAATAGTTCATTAGAATATTTCATAATACCAGCTAACAATTTATTAAACAATTAGTAATATGTGCCAGGCACACACTAGGACTCCGCATACACCTACAAACACAATATCTGTTTCCATATATAAGCCTACTAATGATGGTAAGGTTACCAAGAAACTTCAAAGGAACTCTTTAAAACCGTCAGACTGAGCAGGGTAATTAAGAATCTGTTTGGGCAGCATGCGGTAGGAGTTGTAACCCTCAGAAACAGGTTAAATAAGCCTCCTACTCAATAAGCTCTTTTGTTACAAAACAGCAGCATGACTGCTGAACCCACAGATAAACATTATCACTTCAATGTCCATCCTCCGGAGAGTTCAAAATGTTTTACAAATAACTTTTAGGAGTTGAAAGCTTCAGTTCCTGCTAAAATCAGCAGGGGACTGGAGTCTACAGAAAAGAGAATAAAAGAGGCAAATAAGGGGAATTAAGACACTCAACCTTAGAAGGGGTGTAAACAAATAGTGAGGGCCTTGCAAAACAGCTGAACACTGACCAGCACACAACCCTCTGGACAAAACCCTAAACTTTCCCTTATAAAAAGGGGCTGCTGACTATTCCTCAAAGTGTTAAAACATAGAGGTAGCAGATGACACAGCAATTCTACTCTTAGGTATACACCCAAGAGAAATGAAAACATATGTCTACACAAATACAAGTACACAGATGTTCACAGCAGCATTACTCATAATATCCAAAGAGTGAAATCAACTGAAATGTCCATTAGTTGTTGAATGGGTAAACAAAATGTGTGTATCCATACAACAGTATATTAATCTATAATGAAAATTAATGAAGTACTGACAGGCTACAACATGATAAAGTGTGAAAAGATTATGGTAAGTCAAAGAAGACAGTTACAAAAGGCCACATATCATATTGTCCATTCATGTGAAATGTCCAGAATAGGGAAATCTATAGAGATGGAAAGATTAGTGGTTGCCAGAGGTGAGGGGGCGGTGGGTAGAGTGGGAGGTGTAGACAGTAAGGGGTTTCTTTTAGGGTGATGAAAATATTCTAAACTTAATTTTTTTTTTTTTTTTTTGAGGCAGAGTCTCACTTTGTTGCCCAGGCTAGAGTGAGTGCCGTAGTTTCGGCCTAGCTCACAGCAACCTCAAAATCCTGGGCTCAAGCAATCCTGCTGCCTCAGCCTCCTGAGTAGCTAGGACTACAGGCATGAGCCACCATGCAGGCTAATCTTTTCTATATATATTAGTTGGCCAATTAATTTCTTTCTATTTATAGTAGAGATGGGGTCTCACTCTTGCTCAGGCTGGTTTCGAACTCCTGACCTCAAGCAATCCGCCTGCCTGGGCCTCCCAGAGTGCTAGGATTACAGCCACTAAGTTTACTGGCCTACACTTAGATTTTGATAAGGATTGCACAACTATAGAATATAATAAAAACCACTGAATTGTACACTTTAAATGGGTGGATTTTTTGGCATGTGAAATATATCTCAATAAAGTTTTCTTAAAAATGTTTAAAAGATGAGCCACTCCAGAACTGCCTCTCTTTCCTTACCACTTTCCACTTCTTGTTTATTCATTGAGGCCAGTTCTTCAGCTATTTGGAGCAAAACAAGTTGTTTAAAACAATTTCACATCATAAAAAAAAATAACTTGTCACTTCACAAACACACAGTGTTAAAAAGCAAGTAGACAAGAATCTTAATGCAATACAAAAAGGTCTACTGTAATTGCCATGAGTGGAGGGGCCAAATTAGTTTTGTTGTGTCCAACTATCCCTTGGACAGTACCTGGTACAAGTGGTCAGGAAATGTGAGATGAATGAGAAGTATGATAAAGCAAAGAGAAACCTCTATACAGTAGAAAGATAGATATTTAGGAGCTCCAGGTCCAGCTTTACTACTCAATAGTTGTGTGACTTTGGCAAAGGTAAATTTTCTCTAAACCTCAGATTTACCATCTATGAGATGGAGATGATGACGTTGCAGCTGCGGGTTACTGGAGAAGATTTAATGAAATTATGTTTGTCATATGCCTGCTGAAAGTCATGATAATGATGAAGATCAAGAGAAAGAGGAGGAAGGTGGGAGGATGGGCTAAAAAGAGGGATGAGGATAAGAGGAGGAGATGAAGGTTACATTCTATCAATATGGGAAAGATCTGGGGGACAGGGCAGCCCTTAAATCATAGCATTAAACCATGTAAGACAGAATTAAAGGTAAGTGGTCACAAAAGCAGATGCTACTGAGATTCCACGTTTCATTTTCAGATCATTAATTAATTCATTCTTCCTGCAAATATTTGTTTATCGTCTCTATGTATTAGGCACCATGCTAGGTGTTAGTGATGCAGCAGCCCACAAAACAGACAATGTCTGTCCTCACTGTGCTCTTGGTCTCTGGAGGGAGACTGACATATACCAAAAATAAACAAATAAATAAAAATTTGAAAATCACACAAATATACATCTAATTTAAAATTAAGGTGCCATACATAACTCACATAACCTCACAGTTAAAGTGAAGGGTGTGTGAGAGGTTATAATTAGAGGACCTGATATAGATTGGGAATGGGAAGGCCTCATTGAGGAAGTATGATTTAATCAGTGGCCAGAAGAATCAGTAGGAGTTAACCACTCAGTAGAGGGTGGGAGTAAACAAGACAAGGAACCAGACTGTGCAAGCCCCTGGGATGGCACATTCCAGAGAATCGAAGGTCACATGGCTGAAGCACAGTGAGAAAAACTGGTATATGACAATGCTGGGTGGTGGAGGGTAGACAGAGACCAGATCGTGCAAAGCCTCATAAGCCATATTTAAAATTTAGAATTGTATTTCAACACTATTGAAAGCCTTTGAAGCGTTTTGTGCACGGTGGTAATGTGATCTGGTTTGTGTTTTCTCTATAGCAGCTGTGTAGAGAATGCGAATCCAGACAGAAGGCTGTGGGAGTTGTCTGGGCAAGAAATGGAATAGTTTCACCCTCCAAGGTGACACTGGAGATGGAGAAATAGAAATGAAATGTATTTCAGAGGGAGATTCTGGGACTTCACAGTGGCCTGCATATTAGAAATGAGGAAGGAGGTGTCTGAGATGGCTCTCAGGCTTGTGGCATGGTAAGTTAGGTGGATCGATATGCCATTTACTGAAAAGAGACAACGTGGCGGGGTTGGCAGTGACTGGGGTGGGTAGGGTCAGTTTCAGTGTCAGACTCATGAAGTTCAAGATGCAAGAGACATTCAAATATGCATGTCAGGTAGGCATTGACACCCAAAATGGCATTTTTAGGCTTTGCTCAGTGCTTGGATTAGCTAAGGATTTGAATCAATGCAAGCTGGCCAAGTTTCAGTCTAGATGAAACCGAGGTTAACTCAGAGCAAAGCTTCCTTTTACGTAGGTTCCGCTACATACAATATTTTCTTTCCCTGATGAGTCACAAAGTGGCTGTCTATAAAGTCAAATGTGGGTTTCACTGAATCTATGGATATGTTTCAGGTTGTAAGTTAGGTTCAGATGCATTATAACAGAAAATCCAAAATAACCATGAGGAGTTTCTCTCTCTCTTCTCTCTCCCTCATAAAAGAAGTCCATGATTCCAGAGTCCAGGAAGCCTTGACTTTCCTACTCAATGTCCCTGGTGGCACAAGATGGCTCCTAGAGCTCATTCTGGAAAGAAAGAAGGGAAAAGATGAGAAGATAAAAGGGCCCCTCAACAGTCCAGTCAGCTTCTTTTCTCAGCATTCCTGTGCATCTCACACAATATTTTTACTTTTTATCTAATTGGCCAGAACTTAGTCAGATGGCCACAACTCACTACAAGAGAAGATGGAAACTGTGATCTTTTATCCAGGTACATTGCTACCCTAAATGAAATCTAAATTTTCCTATAAAGAGAAAAGAGACAATAGTTTTTGTTTGTTTTGTTTCATTTTATTTTGTTTCTTGAGACAGCATCTCATTCTGTTGCCCCAGATAGAGTGCAGTGACACGATCATAGTTCATTGCAGCCTCGTACTCCTGGGCTCAAGCAGTCCTCCTGCCTTGGCTTCCTGAATAGCTAGGACTACAGGTGCATACCACCACACCTGGTTAATTTTTCTATTTTTTGTAGAGCTTACT